TCTGCTTAAGCTTACAAACGGCACTTGAATTGCCTTCCTCCTAAACAAGTGTAAGTCGTCCATTTCACTACTTTAGTCATAATTTCAGCAGTATATATAGAAGATGTGAAGAAAAGTAGGGTTTCTACGAGTCTCTTGCTTCATAATTATTGAACTTACTTCTATTTCGAGTGAAAGCGTTCGGTGAAGAGATTAGAAAGTCTGTCCCACCAGACTTACAAGGACGTTGCAGTAAAGCCGATCGACGAGGCAAGAGGAATCCGTCATAGTCTTCTGGTGGGACACTTTCGAATATCTTCACCGAACACTTACTCGAAGTGGAAGTAAGCTCATCAAGTATATATATAGAGCTTGAACTCGTCACGTAAAGGTTGACTAATTCCCTTGGTGCTACCTTGTTTGGGCTTTGTGTTGTATTAATCACTCGCTGTGGTAGCACGTCGCAAGTATTTTTACTTACCTTCATAATCGAAATAACACCAAGAAAACTAGGTCAACTAAAAAGATGTTGACACTGATGAGGTGATTAGCTATTTTGGTGGCATTGGATTCCATCTAGCCTTACATCATAAAATGCCTTCCTACCCAGACACGACTTCGGTTCCTAACTCACACTGGTCTCATTACCATTCCCTTGAGATTCGAAACTTGGTCGTGTGTTTTAAGTGGCGACACCTTAACACTCCACTGCAAAGCCACGAGTGCCACTGGGTAACAGGGCAGATGACACTTGAAGAGCAAGCCAAGCCTCTCCAAAATCAAGCAAATAACTGAAGTGGTCAGACCTCGGTCTTGTCAATTGGTTATGCTGTCAGAGCGGCCTAGGTTAACGAATCTTGTTCGTAATTGTTGCTATAGTAATCATTCAAATCTCGCGTTGGACCGTGGGAATGGGCCGAGTCCAAGGTCCTACAATGTAAATTATTATAATTACTATAGCATAGGACTTCGGACGGGTGTGTTCACATGTCGCTCCGATGGCAACCAAGTTGCAAAAACGAGGTCAAACTACCTATGCACAGCAAAAGAAGACTGTAAGCAAAGTAAAGGCCACCCTGTCTCTATAATGGGAGTGATGCTGGCATTCAGTTCGTTTCGTTTGAGGTGGGCGAGGAGGGATTCATAAATTGGCACAAACGGATGCCGAAGGAGGGTTTCCTCGGCCATGTGACTGTTAGATTGTGCGAGGAAGACCTCAACGACTCAAGATCCTACGACCCCGATGACTCTACGCTGGACTTTCACTCGTCATGTGCAGACATCGTCAGAGCTAGAAACTATTATTCACGAGCAACCACCAAAATAGGTCGAGGTCGAAACTGCAGACAACTATGGTTAAGAAAAGCGTTTGTGAGGCAAGCGTAAGCTGAATTCTATTTGTTGGGGGGACTTTCATTTCGTATGAGAGTGCACGAAAAAGGGATTCTTTGGTCAATCTTACCAGATGAGGATGGATGAATTCCGTTGTACTGAGGCCGTTTGGCTTTATACGATGTTCATGTTGACTCAGTCAACGAAACTTCCTTGGCCTTGGTGATCAGAGCCTGACATTAGCCTTTTGACAACTGATTTAGGAATGGTATTGCGTATATATGTTAACACGCACACACTAGCAAAAGTAGCAGGACCAGTATGAAAGATAATAAGCTAAACAAATCTATATATATTTATCTATCTAGGTTTTTAATTTTCTTTTGGCTTAACTGAGTCTATATAAGATGCAAGATAGAGCCGGATAGTCTTCTTGCCCTAGTGTTAACGTGAGACTTACAAGCATGGCCCCAGCTCTGATGATGTCCATCATAGGATGGACAAAAGCTCAGTCAGTTTTTACCCGAAATGAGGGAGGAGGTCTCGTGGACTGCGTCAACATGAACATCGTATAAAAGCCAACGCGATTCATCCGTCCTCATCTGGTGAGATCGACAAACGAATCTCTTCTTCATGCACTTTCATACGAAATGAGGGACCCCTAGCAATGTTATCTCAGGAGATTAATCGAAACTCAGTTTCTCTTTGAATTCTATTTATTGTGAGAAATGTACTTTGACTAAAGTTCCCGTTTAAGATCTGATAGTTTAGAAGTATACTTTTGACGACGAATATTACTAGGATAGGAACTTAGCTTGGGTCGTTTAGTGTGATTTAAGGATTGATAGTAGATTTTTTCTATAATGAGATAATTAGGCCCTACGACAATATTGAATTTCACTTATCCTTGTTTCCCAAAAGGTTTATCTCATCTTGGCTAAATCGTGGTCTCGACCACAACCAGGTATCATCGGTAACCTAGAGGCATTCCATGCCGGGTAATGAGTATCGTGGCGACTTTGCCAGTCCACTACACAATTACCCGGACCGAGGGTAACAGAGCAGATATGACATTCGAGGCAAGCCATGCCTAGCATACATCTTGAGTGGAATCTCCGATCAAGAAAGTGTATATTTATCACTATTGACGCGTAGTGGTTACGCCGCAACCATATTCACGACCAGGTATCGAATCTCGTTCGCAATCGAAACTCCACTCTCCCTGGATGAGGTGGCCTTTTGTGAGGCAAGGCTAAGAGAACTTGAGTGAGGCTTACTCGTATTGTTGTGGGGCAATTTAACACCCAGTCCTTAAATCACCTTAAGTGAATTAGGCTGACTAAGCTCCTATTCAAGAATTACAAAATTACTCTCATCTAATAAAAGTAAAATAAAACTATCTTTTATGAGCGAGAGAGGACGTATTTCTATTTTCTTGAGCCAATTTCGCCCCTGAGCACGTACGGCTGTACTTTCAATAAGCTCTTCCTCTTCAGTAGCCTTAGACTCATTTTGGTGACTGCGGACTACAGAACTAACTGAGTTCGTCAGCCAGAGTGAGTCAATCTCATCGCAAATTTTGACGCCACCACTACATCGAGGCCCATTGCGTTTGTTTGAAAGTAAGCAAACGATCGATGCGACTTAGGCGATGGCGCTTCTGACGGCTTTTTTACACACCTTTTGTCAATTTGGCAGGATCGATGATGGCGGATTTGAATAACCTTCCATTATGCTGGTGTTACGAGCTCAAATCAACTGAAAGTCGTGGTGCGGGCTTGAATGTAATTTGCACGTCCTGAAGACGGTTAGGTTGCAGTGATGTCTGATCCCGACGACGAACATTCGCTCCAACTAGACGACTCCTCTGCTTACTATTCCAAATTAACTCGACTGCACGCTGATCTTGGCTCGGTCCCATTTGACAAGCTCCAGCCAAGACTTAACAAGGCTTACACCAAAGTTATGGACATGAAGGGGCCAGTTTGGACGTCTACGTACCTGGATGAGATCAGCGAGTCGGTGAGCATAGCCAAACGGCCCAAATTCAGGAAGCACAAGCCTGTTACAAACATCTATCAGCATGGCTACAGCATCGTTAGTGGCACTACCCCCAAGGAGTCGTAATGACAGCTTTTTGGCAGCAAATTGTCCATCACGATACGAGGCATTTATTTTTCTTACATTTTACTAGATGTTGTGGCGCTTCGTCGAAAAGACGAGTGAAATAATTCACTTTTAGTCACCAGCATGCCGGTACTCTTCCATTCGCCTTGTATTGGCAGGCGCTTGCTTCGAACCCTCCGAGTTACTTTGATTTCTATCGGGTGAGGCACTCTATTTTCTTTTGTCTGCGAACCACGCATCTGCACACTTCTCCATAAGCCCCAGGATCTATCGAAGTGACGCATGGGCTCATTGCGAAGTGTGCTGATCAAGAGTTTGGTGGACTGCTGAGGCTGTCGCTAGCCCAGGGTTTAACCGTCTTGAAAACAGAGCCCCTACAACAGCCTCAACTGCTGAGGCTGTACACTGTAATACCATGGAAAGACCGGGCATATAATCCTTCGAAAAAGGACATAGTGTTGGCTTAACTGTTAAAACAACAACGCGTACAAGACGGTAAGGCTCGGCTTTCGAAGTCTTTGGAGCAGAAGGCTTAGTGACCGGATGCCAGAAGTGAAAATTTCGTTGTATTTAGGCGAAAATGCTAAGAAACTTCGGAGGCCATTCAACTAAGCACGATGTTTTTTCTTTATGGTTGTTCTGGCCAAGGCAGAGGTGCTAGACCTAAATGCGCAGAGCTGGCTGGGCGTGTATAGGAGACGGACAGGCAAAAAGTTTGTAGATGAAATCGCCTGGCCAAATACATATTTAAGGCGCTGTGTTCCTACGGATTATAGGGCCGAAATTGGCCGTCAAGCCTTATGGGAAATAGAGAGCGTCACTCGAATATTGTCAGGATGTGCCTGAAGCTATTTTCAACCTGGGGTTCTGACCTGTAGGCGTCAGGGCAACAAGTAGGTTATGTGGCCAGGATGGACAAAAGTTTCAGCAAATATTGGATCAACTTGGCTCCAACTTTACTGGCTTTTCCATGAGTAAATAGACTCGCGTATAGGTGGAGAGCAGGTTTCGAGACTGCCAGATGATTGTGGGCAAGAACTTTCCCCATCTAGGTTTATGAAAGTGAGATAAGGAAGTATGGCTTAATTTTGCATAGTACAATTATCGGGCTTCATGGTGACAATGAATGACACTTATCTTTGCCTCCCAGAAAGCTTTCTCATCTGAGCATCCGGACTGCAGCTTCTACCTTGCCTTGGTCTCCTTCGCACCCTCAGCAAGATTCGAGACCGGTTATTGCACCAAGTGCTAATAAGTTGTCCCTTCGTCACAGCTACTAGTTCCAGTGAATTATAAGGGGAAACTCACATTCAAATCAAGTGAGATGTCTCCCAATTTTTACGTATACTGGGGCTGAGTCGACAGAGCAAATATGTTTTTGCCATTGGTTATATTTTTTGCGATTAAAGTTCGAGATTCACTAGGCTTTAATGAGAACTTCACTTATCGTAAGGCAAGTAAAAGCTTTCGGTATAAATGTGTCTCTTAACTACGTGTATTTTTTCAATGGGAACGCAGTCACTTGGTCGTTTAGACTTATTTAAGGGCCAATAATTAAGTTTTTCACACAATGAAATAAGTGATCCGTTTAATGTCACCTAAGCCTTGCCTCTTAAAAGCCTCTTGTCTGGATTCGACTACAGTTTAAATTTCGACTGAATCTCACCCGAACCCCCAACTTGCTCTGAAACCGGGTCATGGGGCTCAGGCGACGACAGATTAACACGCCGTACTACAAGCTAGGGTTCCATTGAGTCAAAGCGAACATGCGCCTTTCAAGTCAAGCCTGTCAATTCATATTTAGTAGTTGTAATGTCGATGAGACAAAGTTGAGAATTGTCATTTCATTCGACGACATTATTTATTTACGTTACGAGTATGTTTCGAAGCTATCTGTAAGTCTCCTCAATTAATGTCAGGACTGATAGTATTTCCCAAGAAATGTTGAGTACATCTCACGTTACCATTGGATTCTACCTAAAATTGTGGGGTCTATTCAATTATTTATCGTAAATTTTAGCAATCCTACATTAGAATGAATTAGGTGATACCTGGTTTGCTTGAAAGTTGCATAAACCAGGTGACTCATTAGCGTCTGTGGCTGTGTAAGGGAATAGCAACCTGTTTCCAAGAGAATAACGACGCCGACTATGTTATTATTCAAGAATTACTAATAGTTTGGATACATACTCATATTTAAAACTTTTACTTTCCCCAGGACGACAACCTGCTGATAGTCTCGAGGCCGTTATGGCCTTGCCTTCGTTCAGCCCCAAGTAGGCTTTCGAAATCGGGTCGTTATTTTCATGGCGGCAAGTTACTATATTACAACCATTTATGTCAATAGATCATAAAACTTGTGAAACTTTCTCAGCAAACCAAGCCTCTCCCAATCCAGTAAATAGTTGAGTTGTTGGACTTCTTCGTAATGAACATTTTGGGGTCTACTTATAATATTTTGCAGAAAAATTCCAGCATCAGCCTTTACGTTACTTGAAGCTGCCTAGGGTGACTAATCGATTATTCAAGAAATAATTTAATTTTCCATCATACTCTTAACATAAATACAATTTTATCTCACCCACATTCCCACTATAAAACATGAGTTAGGACAGGACCGATTTGTCTTGAAAGTCGCCTGATTTCTTTGACCTACTGGAACAGAATAGTAATTTGCTATATAAGTAAAGCTTTTGACGACCTGTTCCGATGAAAGAGGCGGGTTTTAAATTGCAGCATAGTCTGAATATGAGAACCTTATGGAGGGCC